TGTGTAGAGCAAAGTGATTCAGATATGTATATATATATGTATACATGTGTATACATATATATGTACATTCTTTTCCATTATGGTTTATTACAGGAAATTGAACACAGTTCCCTGCACTATACAGTAGGACCTTATTGTTTATCTGTTTTATATTATATTGGTCAAAAGGTTTGTTTGAGTTTTTCCATAGTATCTTATGGAAAATTTTTGGCCAACCCAATATATAGTAGTTTGTATCTGCTAATCCCAAACTCCTATTTCTCCCTCCTCCACCCCCTTCCCCCTCTGGTAACCACTCTATGTCTATGAGTCTGTTTCTGTCTTATAAATAAATTCATATTTTGGATTCAAAATTTATATTTTGGATATAAGTGATATCATAAGGTACTTGTCTGTCTTTGTCTGACTGACTTAGTATGATAATCTCTAGGTCCTTCTATGTTGCTGTAGATGGCATTATTTCATCCCTTTTTACAGCTGAGTAATATTCCATTGTATACATGTACCACGTCTTCTTTATCCACTCATCTATCGATGGACACTGAGGTTGCTTTCATGTCTTGGCTAATTGTGAATAGTGCTACTGTGAACACTGGGGTGCATGTATCTTTTTGAATTGCTATTTTGTCCAGATATATGCCAGGGAGTGGAATTGCTGGATCATAGAGTAACTGTGAGCATGTACTATAAACAAAGCCTTGGCCTAGGTACTGAGGATGCAGAGAATCTCCTCAGTGCTTGAAATGTCTATTCTAAGACTGACTCCCAAAGACTAGCACATTCAGTAAAAGTAACACCTATATTCACAAAGGTCCCAGGAAACAGGGTGAACCTGAGAATGCCTCTCTGCATTTGTCACCATGACTGCAGCAATGGCCACCTTGTGACAATAGGATTAACCTCTTTCTCGATAAAAATCATAAAAAGCCAAAACACAGAAACAAGATTTAAAATATTTTCAGTGTGTACAGTTTTTCAAACTATAATTGAAAAATGACTCTATTTCTTTGGTGGCCTATAAATTCAAACATGAGATCATGTGAACACAGCATTTCCTTTAAACATCAGATGTGGGTTAGAGGAGCAGTTTACATTTTAAGCTTCCCTGCTTGTTTCTAGGAACAAATTTGCTTGCAACTTCAAACTCATGGTTCTGCAAATTACAGAGACCAAAAGTGCAAATGAAAAAAATCCCTTTTCGGATAACTATCTGAAGCTTCCATATTAGGTATAATGATTTTTTTCCCCGGGATTAGGACAGATTGCATGGGGAGCCTAGGCTTTCATAAAGAGGGGGGTGGGAATTGACTTGGGCCTTCATTTTCTCACAAAAGACACAATGCAAAGCACATCTGTGAACATTGCATAATTTGTTATGTTCTACAAAGAGGTGGGTTTTTGTTGTACACATACCAAAGCTATTTGGTACTGTTCACCAATAATCTCTATTCAGGTCCAGAAAAGAAATTGGCCTCAGAAGAGTGAAAGGAGAGTAAATTTTTCTTTAAAAATTAGATACAGATTATCGCTTCAAAATGCAGGAGGGAATTTTACAAGTGACGGTGCACTGATTAGCTTTCCAATGGACATCCAGTCCTTTATGAATCGCATACTAGCTGTGGTCAACTGTGACCAATGTGGTTTATTACTCTCCCGAAGAGCTGAACTGAGATTACCCATCTAATTTAATTGAGAAATGTTGGGTGAACTTGAACTGTTTCATGGACATGAATGACCAGAGAATTTATTTGATAAGACATTAAAGGCTGAATATGGTAACTATCTCTTTGATGGTTTGATACAATCATTTCTTTAGTTCATTAGCAAGTCTCTCGTAGATTTTTGTTGTCGTTATTATTCTTTGGGTGATTATGTGAGCAGCTGAAATGAAAAATGAATGTTTCTGTACAACATCACTAGAAAAAGTTTTAAAACTTAACCTTTATCGGTAAATACTCATGACAGTTTTCAATATAGTCTGAAAAGTGACATCAACTTTCAAGGAAAGGAAGCTAACAGTAATGAAATTGTGGGCAAATTTCACACAAATTAATAAATCCACTGTATTTTTCATGTGATTGTCCCTAAATTATTTTTAAATATTGTTTTCTGATTTCATTTATTAAAGGGAAAAAAGACTTCAGGAAGCTAACACCCTTCACATTTTCTTGTAAACTTGGGAACTTTTGTTGATGTCACCTCAATGAAACATTTAAGATTACTTTATCAGTTACAGAGCACACAAGTTAGCATCAGATGAAAAGGTGCTTTCTCTTAGTATGTCTGTTAACATTTAACATAAATTCTGCTGTGTTCCCGATGACTAGTGCTAAGGTATAATTTGGACATTTGAATCTTTCTTAAAAACTATATTTAAATATGATAGTTTTAAAACTACTCAGAGAAACTCAGCGATGTAAACTCTTAAGAATAAATGACGAAATCTCAGATCATGTTCCTAGTGACTCTTTAAATGGAATTTTTCATTGAAACTTTGTCATTAAAATAGAAAGGCCTTTTGGTTGTGCCCATACAAGCATAATAAATTGTATATGTTTGTGATACTGAATGACTCTTGCCCATATGCTGCACTGCAAAGCTACATGAATGAGGCATTTACCAAATCAGGCCCACCACATTAAACAGAAAAACAATCTTTATTCATGGTAACTTATCAGTTTCAATTAATCAACCTTAACAATGGAAATTCTGATGTGTTCAAGCAACTTGAAAGCAATAGGTCATCTTGAGGGCAGCCATGTTGTGTCTTTGTGCCTAAGGTTTCAAACAAAGGGACATCTTCAATAAATATACATGCATATACATACATACATGTGCATATATATACATACCAATGGATGGCCATATCTATGCCAGTTACACCAGCCAGAATGCATGTTAAGTGTTTATGACTTTTATCATAGCAAATGTAATTGTTTTCCTCCTAGTATTACTTTTTGAGCTCTGTAAGTGTAAACAAAAGGAAAGAAATTTCCATTGGATGACCATCCTTTCAGTTTCTGTGCTGCTATGTGAATAGCATTGTGCAGACCATTCCAATGGTTTTGAAAAGGGGTAACCATTGGTTTGATTTGGTTACACGGTTTAGTAAAGCACTCCCTCCCACTGCCTTAGGGTCTGTGAAAGGTCTGTGACCTGTTTAGAACTGCCAAGTGAAATGTCATGTCGCCCCTCCCAAATGGGAGTATCTGCATTCATTTGATCAGTATAAAAAATGATTGGGGATGGTGAGAGCAGTGCTTTTGAATTGCAATTTATAGCAGTTTACAAAAATGCACATTGTTGGAAAAGAAAACATGGAAGTGTTTCTTTCTAAATTGCATTACCTGTGAAATGTCATTAGTCTTTTAAGGATATTTACATCCTTTTTTTAAAATTATTATTTAGGAGGCTTACTTCAACTAAGGAAAACCAGAATTTTATTATATGATCATTTTTTTAAAACTTGTGATTTGGTTCTAGTACCAGAATTTAAGGAACACAATGTGTCCATGTTCTTAGGATAAACATAATTTGTTGTCATTTCCACTTATTCATTCTGTAAGATGATCTTTGCTAATCAGTTGCATTAGCGGAGCAGTCCCAATTGTCTTTCCCAGATTCTATAGGAGATTCATTTGCTGGTTGATGTCTTGTCTGCCGGATTTCTAACAGGGAATCTGAAACCACAGGCATATGTAATTCTCCCAGGTCTCCATTATCTCTTCAATGGTTTACTAATGAAACTTCTTCGTTGGATGAATACTTACAAAATTATGGTACCTGTCGATTCATCTACATGTATGAACAGTTTCACAAAAGAAAATGTTATTTCTTTGCTTGAAATGCATACAAGAGTCCATGAACTTTATCCTGAAAGTTAAGGTAGGATGTTCAAGTTCATAAGTCTTAATACGGCCACTTGGGTTTCTGAGGTCTGGAAGTCTTGAAAACTCCATCTCTTCACCTTAGGCAGTGGGTAGAATCGGACATTATTTTGAAGTATTCTATCAGTAAGAAAAGTTACCTCAGGAAAAAGTCCTCAGAACTTCCCTGGCTGATAATGGGAGGAGAGAAAGAGAAGCCCTGCTTCAGAAAAGACTTGACCCAGATACACTCCCTAGCACTCCACTTTGAACCTCCCAACCATTGAAAGCTGAGCTTGTCACGTTTTTATCTTTGTTCATGTTACGCCTTGGAATGACAGCCCGGCTCTGTGTTCCCCTCTCCCACTGCCCCGCCGGCCTTAAGTGTCCACATTGACACCTACCGGTGACCGCAGGCTGCAAGTCTTTGTTGCCTTCTCCACGCTCCTGGCTTTCACTGGGATTAGCTCAGGGCCTTTGTTCCCCTTCAAAGCTGGAACATCACATCCCATGTTGTGGCTTTCCTGTCTCAGACCCCCAACGCTTTCCTCACAATTTACACACCAGGTAAATGTCCCTCCCTAGGGAGCAGAGCCCAGCCTGGGGTGAGGGGTGGGGAGGGCAAAACCTCCCCATTCCCCAACTTCAGAACCTCCCCCCCAAGTTGATTTTCTCTCCTTCTTACTTAAAATTTTCTATTTCATAAGGAGGAAAGATTGAAAACACAAATGGAAATGTAAACCTGAGTTAGGTCCTTGAACCCAAACACAAGTCCACCCCTGCCTTGTTTTATTCTCTTACAACGGCTGCTAATTCTAGGGAGGTAACTCCGGGAAGTTCATTTACTGGCCCTGTCACAGGCACCTCAGACCATTTCTCCAGTCTGGGACAGCAGGAACACTATCTCAGGGGAAACTTCACCGGCACACGCTCCTTTAAAGGCCTTAGAGAAGCTGACCGCCTGACTCGCCTGCCCCCACCCTCCCCTCCAGGTTACTGAGGAGGCCCCCCCAGCCGGGGCCAGGCCTTGGAGGACTCACTAAAAGTGAGGCAAAGAGTGAAAGTGTGTGGGGAGTGGTTTACGTACAGTAACTAAAGCAGATTACACCTCTCTTCATCTCTCCCTCTGTTTAGTGAGGCTGGAAAATCTGGAGGAAGAATTTCCGGAGGAAAAGCAGTCGACGCCCCAGAACACCACAGAGAGCGACACGGGTCCTCCCGAGTAGCGGCAAAGAACACTGCGCTGGGGCAGGAAGAGGGCTCTTACCACCCGGGCGTAAGGCCTGCCTCCCTGGCGAGGGACACTGTCTTCAAGGCGTTTCTAACCTGACTGTACCGTCTTCAGATGCCGCCTGCTAATTGGCGAATCGCACTTGAAGAGAACGCAAGTGCGCGCTCTGAGCGCACCTTTCCAAACCCTTCAAGAACCCGCTGGCTGGTGCGTGGTGAGCGGGGCGCACAGACCCAGAGCCGCCGCCACATCCATCCGGGCGCTCCCTGGGCTCAGCGGGGTGCCCCAGCGCCTTAGGGTGGGAAGGAACGAGCTTCAATTAAAGTTTAAAATCTTGAGGCACTCACCCTGTGTCATTCCTTCTCTAAATCCACCTGGAATCCCTGTAACGCTAACTCAAACTGATTTGCCGTCTACTCATCCACCAACTGATCCATAAAGGCGGACCAGAAAAACCTCGAAGGAGATTTTAAATGTCCTCCAAGGAGGTCCACTCTTACATAGGCGCGGGGCTCCTAGACATATCTTAAACGCCGTAAACAAGTCTTTAGTAAGTGTGGAAACTCTCTGGGGTTGTGTTTCCTGGTAAGTATCAGGATGAAGATTCACGCATCTCTTCTTTCCGAATGTCAAGGCACCATTTTCTGAAAGACCGGTTTGCCTTCCTCCGTGCGTAATGGCCAAACCAGCCCTTTCGGTTCCCTTGTTGACAAGTCAGGCCCGGTCTGAAGCCCAGTTTCAAGATCGTAAGCTCTGGCTTACAGATTTCTAAAGATGTTTATTAAATCTCAAGAAATGTATTTGTGGTGGCTGTCACATAAAGCTGATGTACTCTGGTGCAAAAGAAAGCTACAGAGACTATTTGTTTGTGCGTAAAAGGCATCAGATTTAATTGGAGAGAGACGTGGTATTTTCAAGGCTAGGACACGGGGTGGCATAGCGCCCTGAAGCATTATTCGAGCTTCATCTACTATGCACTATATGCCACCGTCTCCAAAGGAGTGTTGCCCTAGAAACTTGTTTTAAATCTGCTGCTATATATCAACACCTTGTTTTAGCAGTCCTTGGCTGAATTACAGTTACACAGTTTGGCGCTTCTTTCAAATTTCCTCCCATCAGTTTGGCTAAAGAAAGGAATTTTTCTCCTTTAGAAATGAATTGGCTTAATTAGTAAGTAGATTAATGGCAATTGCTGGTGAGTTGGTTTCCAGCAGAGTTTCACCAGAGAGGGTTAATCGGAGTCAGGTCTGGAAGCTTTCCCAGAACTGGCTGCCAGCCATTTCCACCAACCAATCAACCCTACAAGAAGCAGAGGAAGTGAAATAGAATTTAAATTCTCTGGGCTGTTATCCTGGATGGAAATTCCTTGGAAGCAGGCTCCTGGTTGGGTGTAGGATGGACTGTTTCACTTTAGAATTTTCAGAGAAACCTCGAAAGTTTTCACCTTCAAGATTTATCTGGGTATCAAAGAGGAATTTCACATGACACAATGAGTGACTCTACAGAACACTGAGGGTGCATTGAAAACGCCTGTGAGATTCTTAGTCAATTTCAGGTTTTACAGAAGTTGTGCAAACCTCCCAAGTTCCACCCTAAATCTTATCTACCAGAAACTTTTTACAAACTTCAGTTGTGTGTTCTGCAGCCTTTTCACTTATTTTTTCCATAGTGATAAAAATGCATTCATAGTTTAACTTGCAGCTGCATTACTCTTGCAAAAAAAAAAAAAAAATCCCTGCTGAGAAATGCATATAATAGGAAAAACAGATCGGCTGGACAGCAGTGTAATTAATGCCAGAAAGGGCTGAGGCCGGTTTCATAGTTTGTCTTTTGAGGATATCAAGACGAGACCTGGTGAAAAATGACGCATGCTTTAGCATTTCAGAAAGCTGGCAACTGGCAGCGCTTTTCCTTTTTTCTTTGACTTTCTGCCTCAGAACAAAGAGGTCGGCAGAACTAGCTAGGTTGTAATGAGTTCTATGTCCCTAGCACATTAAGTGCATCATGGAAACATATTGTATCGAAATAGTTTGGAGGAGAATACCGGGGATGAAAGAGAATGGGTGCTTTGATCAGCTCCCTGGGGTCCTGAGCGCGCACAGACTGACTTGCAAGGCGTTATTCAGCTCCAGCTAGACACACTTACAACACCATTCAAAGAAATTTGCATATCTGTAATTTATCACAGTGGTCCAGAACATTTTTGCAAGGTAAATAAAAGTTGGCTGAATAAAAAAAAATCAATCATCGCAGATATAGTGGAAACTGTGAAGCCTGTCTCCATTAAAAGCATAAATAAATATGTCCATGAAACATTGATGATTTAGAGGCTGATTTTATTATAAACTGTTCTTAGAGCAACAGGTTATGTGCTGACAGAGTGGCCGCCATTTCTTTGTGCTTCTACTTTAGGGGAGTGTATGTGCAGCTTCCCATTTGAATAAAGGCAGAAAGTTGAATAGATGTGTGGCTATAACCAGCCCGCGACATGCAGAGCAAAATTAGTACACACTTTGAGGAGATGTGAAAGATGGTTCAATCTCCTTGGTGTCTGCAAATGCTAAGGTTAAATTTCATTTCTTCTCCTGTTGATTTCGTTGCCAAGCCCTGGTTGCTAAATTTAGAAGCTCAAAGGGATGAAATATCCCGACATCCAGTCAATAGGAAAACTTGCTTTGGAATGCCCCATGAGAACAAGTGAAAATTTAACAGGCAGGCATTGTTCTGAGTTTTTAAACAACCCAGTTAAACAGCAAACAAGAATCTTCAACTTGACCTTGAAAAAGGCTGTGTGCCTGCAGATAATCTATCAAACAACTGTGGATGACAATGATATATTTCAAAGTATTGTCAGATGAAAAGATTGATAAATTTGCTGCTGCGAAGGGAGAACTTTGGAAACAGGCAACAGGCAATTTACTGCACTCCTTCTGCAGCCCCCTCCTCGGTCCTCGCCCCCTACCCCCACCCCAACCCTACCCCTCCACCCTTCAGCCTTGGGGCCAACTCAGTGGAAGAAGGCCAGTAAATCAGCACTGTAATATTTCTTAAGGGGCACAGAAAAGCTGTGAACAGTACTTCTCATATTAAACGCAATATTTCTTTGCTTTCGTGGGGAACAAAAGTCATAGCAAGACGTCTTTATGGCCAATTCAGTCAAAGGCACATCTCTGTTCCCCCTGCAGAAAGGTCAGTGTCGTTGTGTTTGGTCCACCGAGGGGGTGTTTTCACGCTGAAAACTGAGCCAGCTGTCCCTGTCACACCCTCGCCATTGGGGAGCACGCACTAGCTATGGTTATTAGGCACATTCTACACCTGCAAAAATACCGATTTCCAAGACTTTTCAAGGAACCCCTCCCCAGTTCTCATGACCCCCTCCTCTTTCCTCTACTAAATTTTGACAACACAATTCAAGCGCTGGATGAAAGCACTGCACGCAAGAGGAAGGCTGGGGAGGGGACAGCTCAGCAACCATCAAAGAAACAAGGCATCAAGAATGTTTTCAAAAGTATGGAAAAACTTCCAAATTGCTTAAAGCATCTCACATTTGTTATTTCCACACATGCTGTTGAACCCAAATATTTAGATTTACGCACCAGTGTTAGGTGTGTGCTGGGGGGGGGGGGGGGGCAGGGGGTACAGCCCAGAGTCCTTCCTTGAGAAGTGGTTCTTTTACAAATTTTACTTGGAGTTAGCATGTCACTGACCAAGGTCAGGGGATAATTTTTTTTACCCCCCAGGACTGTCCCAATTCGAGTCCACATCACTTTTTGAAAATCCAAATGCCGACACACTGTTGCTATCCATTTCACAACGCTTGCCCAACTGGATTTCATAATAAAACTCCTTCTAGAAACATCCATTAGCTAGCCTTCTCCCAGAAAGCCAATTCCACAGGCTGGCACTTCAAAGATAGGTGACTACCTAGCTATCTGGGGGACATCCTGTGGCCCAAACAAGAGAGGAGCTAAAGGGGATCCTGTGCAATTGCTGAAATCGGTAAAACCAGAAATAATTCAGGAAAATTCACTCTAAGGGTGAGAATGTTCCAGGCGCCAGTTCCTCCAAGATAGGAGCGGGAAAGAAACTATCGTTCTCTAGGAGCACTTGGGAGTGGAATGGGGGACTAAAGAGTCCTATCTGGCGGCAAGGGTTTGGGGGACGAGAAGGAAACAAGGGGAGGGTTCAATGAGTCCGTGGTGTGTTCCTAACCCAGACATTGTCTAGTCCTTCCACTCAAAGTAGAAAGAGGTACAGAAGTCCCCAGAGTGGCCAAATGCAGAAGTACCAGGGACGCCTTGGTTTCCCGGGACAAAGGCAGGGGTGAAGCACATCGCGTGCCACGAGAGGCAGGGAAAGGGTGCCTCTCACTAGCAGGGACCCTAAATTCTTCCCTGGCGCCTGGGGGCTTCTGCACAGCCCGCCACCACCAAGCAACGCGCCGGCGCCTCTCCAAAGCGACGTCAGCGCAACAGCTTGTTTGGAACTGATGCCGACCCCCCCACCAGGGAAAGCGTTGGCGTGAAGCGGCGGGGGTCTGCCAAAACCCAAGACCCCCCAGTGGAGCAAGGGGAGATTCCCAGGTCTCCGAAAGTAGGGGCGGGCTAGAAACCCGCGCCCCGACCACTGCCGCTGTTGGCGCTGGCGCCTCGGCCCAGAGGCAAAACCAGCTCGCTGCAGCCTGCGCCCCGGGCCACGGGGCCCTCTGCAGGCGGCCGCCCGAGGGCTTCCCGCCCGGCCAGGAGGCTTTGTTACCCCGGGTCTCCCCAAAGGAAGCCTTGGGTCCCATCTCCTGCCCTCCTTCAGGCCGTTCGGCCCCCTCTCTGCTCGCCGCTTCCTGGAGCCCCTCTTGGAGACTTCCATGCGCAAAGATAGCAGGACTGCGGAGAGCCCAGTGCCGGACAGCCACTTCCAGCCTCGAGGGAAGACAAACAGCCCCCGAGCCCCGACTGCCCCGGGAGCAAGGGCTAGGCGGGCCTCGGGGGATTCTGGTCCGACTCCACCCCGGCTCTCCGGAACCCTGGGAACGCAGAGCAGCGGGCGGGGCGCATGCGCGCCTCCGGCCAGGGTCCCTCCCCAGCCCGCCGAGTTTGGGGAAAGTTTGGCGAGGTTTGCCTTGGCAGCGGCGGATGTCCCAAAGGCCGAGTTGCCCTGGGGATGCGACCAGGAGGCCCCCGGAGTCCCGGGAGCCGGCTCGGCGGGGGCCCGAGGGCTGAAAGGCGGCAGAAGGTGGGGAAAGGGAGGCCTTTTGTGTGTGGCACAGGAGAGTC